GAACCGCTGACCTGCTGATCTAGCAGTAGCCTGCAGTGCTGCATTTAACCACTGCGCCACCTTGGCTCTTGGGATGATGGAAGGATTCTACTTCTTTGCAGTTATTTGGTCATTAGCAGTCTCTGAGAGCTGTTGACGCCATTTGGGGGTTTATCTGTGGTCTCAGAATCACCTAAATCAGGGTGCAATTGGTTGTGGAATCTTCTTGGACTTACTGCAAGGGCTGTGTTGTCGACTGCAGACAGGTGATGTCTTATTCCTCACCCTTGGTTGAGGGAGCGGTGTTCAATACTAACATAGATGGAGTCTTTTACCCCTCTTTCAAACCAATGGTCCTCTCTATCCAAATATTACTGTCAGCCCTGCAGCCATCTTTTCTTTTGGGTCTTTGGCCTGCTACACTTCCTATTATTCTGCTTTGCATTTTCTATTGTGGGAAAATGGGAGGGGGGATTATATGGAGTTGGGTGATAGGTAGCCATAACAAAATACTTTCTAGAAAGCCAAGGTCATCCTTTGTCTCTGCACCTGGCCAGAACTGGATGGGTGGAACTGCCAGCATGGCAGTGGGAGATTGGACCATGTGATGGACTTGTTGGTGTGGGGGCAAGAACTTTCAACTAGGTGGGGAAAACTGGGAAGCTTTCAGATTCAGGTTTTTCCAGATGTGCCAACATGGATCTCTTAATAAATTGGAACTTTTAACAATACTTTGCCTTGGACTCTGATTTACTTTTGGATGCTATTTGGAAACCTGACAGTTACTTGCCTACTGTTACTTGCAGATTTTCAGCTAGGTTTATTCAAGTTTCACCACAATACATTTTTGCAATAAACTGCATTTGAATCAGGAAGTGTATTACTCAAGTTAAAAGCTTTCCCTGTTTAAAAAGTAAACTCCCACTGAAAACTAAAGAGTCCATTATCCTCAGACCCTTTACTTTTCTGTCAGGCTGGCCTCTTGGCATGAAACATTGGCCACTTACTTATGTCATTATTAAAGACTCCTTTGCATAATTCAACTGTTTCTCAGTATGTCTAAATATGGAAGGAAATTGCAACAGTTTGAGATCTGTAAGTTCAGATCTGCACCAGAAAGTCCATTAATCTTCAAATTTCCTTTCAATTTCTCAGAAACGTTTGTGTGACACCTGAACTGACTCCGTGAATTATTTCAAAAATTCAAGTCAAATATTTGTTCAAAGGGGTGATTTGATTGATTCTCTTTTGAATCAAACCACCCCTTCAATCTTTTTCTCTGTGTGAGAATGAGTGAGTGTGGGAAAGAGAAAACGTCAGCTAGATACTAGTTATTGCATGACTGTCACCCCGTTGATAAATAGCCTACAAATTGACTGCACTGCTGTGTCTTAATTGATTTGATAAACTTGCTCCATGGAAGATTAAATCAATCTTGTTTCTGCTTTATTAAATGCATTTGTCACTTACTGCCACTCTTTTTTGATTTAAAATATCACACAAATTTGTTCTTCCCTGTCGTATCATAATTCTCTTAAGGATGCGTGTCTTTTTTGTTATTCCACTTCAGTCACTAGTTATTAAGAGTTCCCTACTGATATTCATTCAGCTTGGAAGCATTATATAGGTGACAAGATATAAGTGAGGTATGGTAAATGTAAGTTCCTCTCTACCATGCATGACAGGGCTGAGGGAGATTTTATCAGAGCCCTTGTCATCATCTTCCTCCATATAAGATAGCTTAGGAATTATACAGGGGAGGAAAGGAATGAATCTTCATTAAATGTTACTTTTCCCAATGTCCTGTTAGAAGAAATGTCCATCTGGGTTTAGTTCCAAGTGGGGAGAAAAAAACCTGAAAACATGGTGGCTGTTTGGAAAGATGGTTAAATGGTGGACAGGATCACATGCCTTGGGGCTCCTGGATTAAAAAGAGGATCACTTGCTTCAAGATGTTGGGTGAAGAAAAAAGAAAGAAAAAAAGGGGTGAGAGGCTGTGAGTGCCTGAGTTTTATACCCTCTCCTGGGCCCCAACTTAGATCTTCTTGTCCTGGTGTAAGCAATGTATTCTGATTGGTTGTCAGACAACCAGGGGGCGTGGGGTGGGGTTTTTAGCTAACTTTGTATGCTGTCCTGAGACTCGAGCTTGTTTGAGCCTTTCTGACGGATGTAATATTTTCAGCTGCCATATGGTGAGATGAGTGGAGGGCTAATCCTACCTGTGTTATGTAGAATAGACTGACTCGGGCCTTAATGCTCCACTGACAAAGGGGTGGAGAAGCTGTAGAGCTGCTTTGTCTTTAAAAACACGTTTCTCCTTTCCTCAACCAGGGAAATATAATATTCTGCCTTTTTAATATTTCCTAAAATATTTCATTTTTCTAGGAGAGGGAAGGTTGGGTGCTAACCTCCTACAGTACAAACCTGGAAAAAGGAATTATGGAATAAAAAAGGTATGGAAACTAGTCAAGTGGATCTTGAAAGCAAAATAATGTTCCCCTTGAAATCATGAGACTTAGCCCAAAATGTAGACAAGTGGACACATCACACCTTTTGTTCTGGAACCTCTCCAATATCCACACATACCCTCTTAAAAATACCTGCCTTAATTTTATTATTATATTTTTGGCCCGGTCTTAGCGTAGTTCTTGCTGGGTAAAGAACTGCATGTGTGCTCCAACTATATCAAATGGATTGCATTCTCAAACAAAGTCTATAAATCACGTTGACCAACTGAATATTTAAAGGAGCTATTTATATATTGGTATATATTGAGTTGAGGTGGCATGGTAACTTAGCAGTTAAGATACTGTACTTGTTGGCTGGAAAGCTGGAAGCCCAGGTTTGAGGCCTGAGCACCACGCAACATGGTGAGCTGTCCTCACCCCAGCTCCTGTCGTAGTTCAAAAGCATGTAAGTGCGAGTAGATAAATACGTACCACTTCGGTGGGAAAGTAACAGTGCTCCATGATGTCAGCCATATGATTGTGGAAATGTCTTTGGACAGGGCTGGCTCAATGGCCTTGAAATGGATATGAGCACCGCCCCCTACAGTCAACAATGATTAGCAGAGTAAAATATGCAAAGACTCCTCTTTTTTATATATATTGAGTTAGAATCAAAATTCTCTCTCTTCCTTAAGTCTTCAAAAGAGTTAGATGGTCTTGGGAAGTCAACAAGAAATGAACATAATATTCATCATTTTCTCTATTTCCTCCAGCATCTTTTTCTAAATATGAAAGTTGGATGTTTGGTTATTGTGAATTCTAAACTTTCACCAGCTTCTCTGTTTGTTAAAATCCACTTGTTGCAATAGGTTCCAAATAAGTATTTTTATGGCACTAAACATATATTTCCATATATGCCTAAGGTACACAAGTTAAATTTTGCATGTTAAAGCTGTTTCAACTTGAGATGTGACAGCTTAATGAACTATACTCCAAGTGATTTTTTTTCTTCTTTTAAGGTATGGAGATATAAACCTGGACTTTCCCCAAAACTATTAACCATGCAAATATAATTTTAGGTATCATACATCTGGAATGGATCAAAGTGACTGAGGTTAAAAGAATGCACACAATCAAACCCAGATGTTAAAATACGGCAGTGCCTCATAGGCTCAACAGATCTCAATGGGTAACAAATGAAAGATAAATGTTTGAATGTAAAAGGGCTAAGTGGCTTTAAATTTAGGTGGCTTGGAGGTGATGGGGATGGTGAATAGCTTTATATCAAAGTAGGTGTGAGGTCCAAGAATTTTAAAAACTCCAGTCAAGGTCTTTTTTTAAAAACAGACTTCTTTTTCTAAAGGCAGGATATTAAGTAAACTTTCCATAAGGACAACGACTAGCAATCTCAGCTGAACCTATGTGGTTTAGCAAATTAATTTATTCTGTATTTATCACATTCCATTCCTGTTCTTCGGCTGAGGATTTCAAAGTCTTGTGTGTAAGGTTATCTTCACAACAACCCTATCAAGTAAATTAGGGTAAGAACTATGATTGATTTAAGGCCACCCTGTGTGCTTCATAGCAGAGGGGGAATTTGAACCCAATGTGCTATCTGCTACATCATCTTAAGTCTCAACAAAACTGCTTTTGTAGTTTGGTAAAAACAATTATGCCACTTTTTAAAACTGCTTTTCACATCATAATAACTTGGACAGGACCAAGAGGTATTTTTGTCAGGAATTTATAGCTAATCCATCCAATCTGTCCCACAGGTTTGGTAAACATAGATATCAGATGGATATAATGCCAAATAAACTTTTCTGAACCTGAGTTGCTTAAATATGTTAGAACTTCACCTTCCAGAGTTATCAACCAGAGTTAGAGTTGCAATATATCCACTAGTTCCCAAATAGACCTGCGTCATTAGATGAAAGTTGGTTAAAGTTTTCTTAGATAATAAAGCTAATTAGATCACCATCTTCATCACTGATATGATTATTGACCATTTGCTTTGCTGGGAGTACTTCTACTCCATGGCATTCTATTTTAGAAGTAGAAGTAGAAGCTTAAAGAGGGCTGTAAAAGTGCTATGAAGCGGTATATACCATAAGTCTAAGTGCTATTGCTATTGATATACATATACACATACCCTACGTACATGCATACATGCATACATACCTATATATCAGGGGTGGGTTTCTCGCCCCGTTCCAACCGGTTCGGTTGCAATCAAGCTCAGAGACCACCAAGGACGCCTTATTTCACTACAGCATTTAAGGACATAAGCAACAATAACTTGTACTAACTACTTAGCCCTGAAGGGGGGAAAAATGAAATGCAAGTGCAAATATAAAAGAAGCAGAAAAAAACCCCAGAGGAAAATGGGAAGAAAACAGAGACTGAGGATATGATGAAAAAAAATTACATGGAATTTTTCTGTCCTATGTTTTCCTCAGTTCCTCAAACAAGATTGTCTGCAAAATTACTTGTGGGTAACAGACTATGAAAACATGACACCAGCAAGCTAGAGAATGAAAATTATTTTATGAAGCTATTTTAGTATCATGTGGATTACTTTAATATCTTATGGTAAGGAAGAATGTTGAGAGTTGAGATGAAAGATCTAATGTCCAGTATAGCGGGGATATTCAACAGAGGAGAAGAAGGCAAAAAGGTCAGTTGCGGTTCTCTGCTAAACATAGATTCTTGGACAATGGAAATAGGTTTAACATTCACATCTCCTTCTTGTTTACCATAGCCTATCACCTGAAAGTTCAAAAATCAAATGGTTATTTAAGATCAGCAAACATCCGGAATAAAGAAATGTAAGCAGAGTCTGTTGTCCAGCAATCACAATGATTTTTTTTATTTTAATCTTGACTTCCATAATTTCCTAGCAAAGGATATATATATAGTTGTATTTGTTAAAAATCTAATATTATTATTAAATTATGTTATTATATTATTAAAAATATAATAAAAATATTATTATTAAATATTATTATTAAATATTATTATTATTANAGAATTGTGGTACATTGATAGTAAGATATAGAAAGATTTTTGACTTAAAGTGTATAATCTAATACGAACTATAAGTAATGACTGTGAAAGAAATGCACGAAAGTTATCTGTAACCAATCGACACACTTTCTGCAAGATGTAATGAAGGATGATTTTTTTTGTTCAATTAAAATAAAAAATTCCAAAAAAAAAAAAAAAAAGCACACCAGGACAGAGAGTGAAGAGCAGGGATGAAATTCAGCAGGTTCTGGAGAACCAGTAACAGAAATTTTGAGTAGTTCAGAGAACTGGCAAATACCACTTCTGGCTGGCCCCAGAGTGGGGAGGGAATGGAGATTTTACAATTTCCTTTCCCCAGAAGTGGAGAGGGAATGGGGATTTTGCAGTATCCTTCCCCTGGAGTGAGGAGGGAATGGAAATTTTACAATATCCTTCCACCAGGAGTGGGGTGGAAATAGAGATTTTGCAATATTCTTTCCCCAGGAGTGGGAAGGGAATGGGGATTTTGCAGTATCCTTCCCCTGACACACCCACCAAGCCACGCCCACAGAACCAGTAGTAAAAAAAATAATGAATTTCAGCACTGGTGAAGAGGAAGCAGAAAAACAAACTTGGGCATTAGTTTTTAAAATTACAGCACTAGAACTTACCACAAGCAGTTCTGTAAGTGTATAGTCTTTTAATTTCTTAGCTCCGGTCTAAAAAAATAGATAATAGTAGATTAATTATTTGTCTAGGTATATGGTATATCTTTCAAAATAAAAGTGTACCATAAGAATGCTTTTAATTTGTTCTTGCTCTACATTTTGCTAAAGAACTCAGGTCTCTGGATCACCAAAGCCTACAATCAACTTGGTTAAACTATTACTATTTTTTCCCTGCAGTGCTCAAATTGCCCATTTGAAGGAAGGGTTTGGGAGAAAAACACTGGCAGTGTTTGACAAGAGTGATGTCAAGAGATATCCAACAGGCAGGTTGAGAAAGTCACATTGGTGGCCATAAATGTTGGACCAAAGACACATTTTTTTTGCAGATAATACATGTAAAAAAAAAGATATGAAGTCTTGATTACTTCTGATTATCTATCAACCTTATTTTTCACTCCATAAGATGCACTCCCTCCTAAAAAAAAGTAAATAGAAATGTCTGTGCGTTAGTGCCGTTCCTTTGGTGAATAGCAGCCGGGATGCGGTAGTGAGGTCCTTTAACCGTGCTGAATCCCATATTTTCTGTCTTTGTCATTGCCTGCCTCTTCTGTCTCTTTTCCACAGTGCAGGAGTTAATAGGCAGAGCTGGCACATGAGAGGACACCTATCTGTGGTCCTCTCAGGCTCCGCCTGATATTTTTGTTCTTATTTTCCTTCTCTAAATCTAGGTGCATCTTATGATCAGGTGCATCATAATAATGCAAAAAATATGCCAATCTATTACTACTGATTTCTATCACCATCATGGTTTTGGGGCAGTGGTGGGTTTNCTCCCAGAATTCTCCAGCCAACTCTGCTCTGCTGGCTGGAGAATTCTGGGAGTTGAAGTCCACAAGTCTTAAAGTTGCCAAGTTTGGGAACCACTGCCTTACAGTTTACAAAAGCAAATATTTATTTAGCCAATTGCTAGATTGCCCAGCTTCAAAAATGACTCTGAGCAACCTAGAGAAACTAAAACTAAAATATGTATATTCTTCTCTCTCAATTGCCACTCAGGGCAGGGGCAAGACAGCTAAGCAGACAGGAGTGGATGTTCCTAGAGTAGCCCCATTGTCATTAGTCCTCTCTAGGACATCGTGTCAATATCAGAATAAGAAACTCAACCAATATCTATTGAACAAGATCTGCTTGGAATTAAATTTAAGTCATTAATTGGTGCAGATTAGAGTGCTCTTATGACAACCCAGGGTGACTCCTACAAATTCCTTGAAAATAACATGCCATTTAAATTGGGGGCAGGTATCTTAATGTCCTCCAGATGTTTTGGATTAGGGTTTCTACAATCCCTTGCTATTAAGTAAACCTAAGACTAATGAGATTTGAACTACAAGTATCTGGCGATCATAAGGTTACCTTTCTATACTCTAAATCCTACATTTATATAATCTGTACCTGAGCAAGAAATTCTTCTTCAGACAAATTCCGGAGTCTTTCCTCAAAGTGGGCAAAGAATTCTTCTATTTTTTTGTCAACATATTCAGAGCTAAAAACATTTAAAAGAGATAATATGATCTTCAATGTTTTTAAGGCTACCTATACAGTATTTAATCTTGCCTAGGTTCAGTTATGGATTTTAGTGCAGGCTGAACACTTTCGTGTAACCCAGAGTGGATCAAAGTTCTGTTGACTGCTAGCAAGTATTTTATTTATTTATTTATTCATTTATTTTGTCAAGCGTGAATTAGATAACAGATATAAGTATAGACATGATTATGAATACATGAAATGAATACGAATACAAGGGAATACTAGGACAGAGATGGTTGGCGCGCTGGTGCGCTTATGCACATCCCTTAAAGACCAGAGGAATGGAGTGAGGTTGACAGCGGATAGTCTAAGTCTAAAGTTTTGGGGGTTTGGGATAGAAACCACAGAGCCAGGTAGTAAATTCCAGGCATTGACAACTCTGTTCCTGAAGTTGTATTTTTGGCAATCAAGTTTGGAGCAGTTTACCATAAGTTTGTATCTATTGTGAGCTCGTGTGTTGTTGTGGTTGAAGCTGAAGTATTCATTGACAGGTAGGACATTGTAGCAGATAATTTTATGCGCTACGCTTAGATTGGATCTAAGGTGGCAAAGTTCTAAGTTGTCTAAGCCCAACATTTCAGGTCTAGTGGCATAAGGTATCTGTTACGAGCAGAGGAGTGGAGGACTCTTCTCGTGAAATATCTCTGGACTCGTTTAATTGTATTAATGTCTGATATGCAGTGCGGATTCCAGACAGATGAGCTGTATTC